CATCACTCAATGTAAACAAGATCAACCACTTTCAACACGTAATCATTACTATAAACTAGAACCAACCACTATCAATTAGCATTCAACCACCGTAAATTAACATCATTCAGTATCAACTAGTATTAACAAGTGTAAACTAGTGCCTCCTAGTCTATTCGATATGTTTTCTAAGGTCTATGATATAATATAGTACTCAATCATTGATCTTTTAGAAGTAGGTAAATATTGATCAGTGGGGATTTGGCTGAGAGTTGGTTAATAAGCAATCTGCTCACCATTTTTAGCTACAGAATCCACCAACTCAGTGATTATTGAATTCACAATGTCTTCCACATTTTCTTCATCCGATACTGTGGCTTCTTTTTCTTCTACAGAATAATTAAACATACAACATACTTCATGAAACCATTGTTAAGTATGTAGCCCAAATATAGAACATATATTCATACAAGAATAATTTGGCAAGTTCTACCAACCAATACTATAGTAGGCAGCTCTTAAAATATGACCAATAATTTTGGGCGTTTCAAAGAAGTGATCTTTTATGACAGGCAATAATTCAACCATTTTTTTACAGCAGTATGATCTGAAGTTCAAGGTAAAACCACCACGTTCAACAACTACTATAAAGTTGAAGACAAATGGCCAAGCATTCCAAGATGGTTATAGTATTACGAGTCCAGGAGAAAAAAATTGTTGGTATAAAAGCTATTTTTACCTGAAACATCACCATTCACAGGAGGTTCAGATAGTTCGCTTTCAGGTTGTTCACTAGGTTCACTGTCAGTTTCATCTTTCTGGCTGTCCTCAGTCTGTGACTCTGCACTTTTCATCTCATTTTTCTCCTTCTCCATGGCTTCATGTACCTGTAGATAATAAATAACATTAAAATGTATTAAAAACAGAAATGAACATTAGAATACCCCCACCTGCAAAAGTAGTATGTTTGGCATCATTATGTTTGTTTCCTGTAACATGTCTAGTAATACGTGCACTGAAAACCACATTTAGTGTTCCTAAGTTAACAAATAAATTACTTCAATTGGTAAAATAAGCTTTGCCTATTATTTTACAGGACAAGACTGTATATCAGTATACAATACTGTAAACCATTTAAACCTTTTCACCACCAGACATTCTCAACAAAAATTTGTCTTCACTTTTTTTCTTATATTCTTTAATATTTTCAGTAATGAATCCTAATTTTGGAGCCAACAGACAAAATAAGAGCCACTTTACAGTTTTTACTCAAAAAATTTGGCTATTTTTTTCCCAATTTCCTGAAAGAAAGTGCAGACTATAAACGGCACTATTTTGTGAATTTGTGATGAAAAGAGGGAACTGGGGGTAAAAAGGTTATGGTAGAAGCCTACGGTACTCAAATACCCAGAATTTATTCATTTTCAATAAATTTTACTTCCGGGCAACATAATGATGATATTGACTTAAAAAAAGTTTTGAGAAATTTATAATTGTAATTTACTGGCCATTTTTGCAGTATTATAGTGTTTTTAACATAGGTTCTTCTGACAGATATTATGTCATATCTCAAGTTGTAGGCTGGTGACATAATGAAGGAATAATGAAGGAATAATGTATTGTTATTGGTGACAGGGGTACTTTTTGTTTTCCTAAATTATTTCAAAAATCATTATGTTCTATGAAATTGTTCTAAAATTATTGATTTTTGGAAGATTTTAGGACAAGTTTCTCAAAATCTGTCACTGTAACACACAAAAGAATGCTATTGATAGTGCCATGGAACAATAGCTCCATGATTTTCCATAATAAACCAATGAACATTGTCATGCGATTTATGATCAATTTTCTCAAAAGGACTTTCTACCCTAATTTTCATTGCTGGAATTTTTCACCGTTTCAAGAAGTTATAGCATTTTCGGAACAGAATTTGGCATAAGTCAATGACCTCTATGTCATAGAACCAAATAGAAATTTTTACTGCCAGAAAATTTCCTTATATCATTGACTCACAAAATTCAGGAAAATTTGTCTTGGTAAAATGAAAGTAATTTTACAATATAACGATACTTACAGCTTGCTGTTCCATTCTGGCAAATATAACATTAAGCATCTGAGTGAGGGTGGCTTTAGCCGTTGTCTGGTTGATAAGATTCCTGCTAGCAAGGTAAATATTGTAACAGGTCCTCACAGCTTGTAATAAAGAACCTTCATGTACTTCACATACAGTGGATGTTACTGCTGTCAACAACGCCTGAAAAAAAAACAAAAAAAACATTTATTTTACTATTTCTGAGCTATCATAGAATGTTTATTGTCAAGGTCGCCTGGGAGAAGTACAAATGTAAGAACAAACCAAAATGCCATGTTTATTACAGTTTTACTTGCTGCTGTTCAGAAAAGCCAGATAAAACTATTGGATCACTATGTACCATTTTTTTATCAGAGCAGGAGTCACATACATGTATGTACATGTATGATTTTTTAGCCCAAATACCATTGGTGTCTACAGTAGGAACAGTCTCACTCATATCTCAAAATATTGTTTAGTCTCAGTTACAGAGTGAATATAATCATACTGTAACAGTGTACTATGTAGTTATAAATTGGGCGATAGCAGTCATCATGAATTAATAGAAAATTCTGAAAATTACCTAATTTTTAATGAATTAATGCTTTGACATGAAATCCCATAGAAGTTGTTTGGTCATATTTTTTTCGAACAAATAACCTTGACTGTGTCAAAAACGGAAAAAATTTCGACATAAATAAATTATGTGATCTTTGAAACCAAACATTGTGATAATTTTTGTTCTCCTGTGTTTCTTAGTTTGTATGTTGCATCTGTTAGTAAGTTTTGATCAGTGGCTAGAACCTCAGCATTTTTTTAAATGTCTTTATTTATTTTAACACACAGTGTTACATACACCTGTAAAACCATACTGATACTCAGTTATTATTAAAGAATAGCTGAATATCTTGCCTGTTGATTATTATTAATAATCTAAACCAAAAATAATACAATTTTTTATTCAGCTGTATCCTTACTATGGCACTATTTGATATTCATACTAAGGTTATTTACGCTGCATTCAAACACTTTCTTTTGTCTACATTGGATGCAGAAGTGTTATAGTGTGTGGCAGAACAGAATCCAGTCACTGAACGCATACGCATGCACAGCAGAAACTATTTTTCGTTGCTATTTCAGGCTATAATCTTTTATTGAATTATTACTACAAGCAGGAAAAAATGTATTATAATAATAAAAGGTTATGAGAATACCGCAAAGTATGCACTCAGGCAGTACTGGATCACATCAACCTCCACTACAAATCATGTGCATACTTTGTCTTATTCTGAATAATAATAAGGTTATTATGAGAATACTGAAAAGTATGCACTCAGGCAGTACTGGAATCCATCAACCTCCACTACAAATCATGTGCATACTTTGTCTTATTCTGTATAATAATAAGGTTATTATGAGAATACTGCAAAGTATGCACTCAGGCAGTACAGGAATCCATCAACCTCCACTACAAATCATGTGCATACTTTGTCTTATTCTGTATAATAATAAGGTTATCATGAGAATACTGCAAAGTATGTATTCAGGCAGTACAGGAATCCATCAACCTCCACTACAAATCATGTGCATACCGGTACTTTGTCTTATTCTGTATAATAATAAGGTTATCATGAGAATACTGCAAAGTATGTATTCAGGCAGTACAGGAATCCATCAACCTCCACTACAAATCATGTGCATACTTTGTCTTATTCTGTATAATAAAGAGGTTATCATGAGAATACTGCAAAGTATTCACTCAGGCAGTACTGGAATCCATCAACCTTCACTACAAATCATGTGCATACTTTGTCTTATTCTGTATAATAAAGAGGTTATCATGAGAATACTGCAAAGTATTTACTCAGGCAGTACTGGAATCCATCAACCTCCACTACAAATCATGTGCATACATAAAAAAATGTACTTTGTCGTATTCTGTATATTAATAAGGTTATCATGAGAATACTGCAAAGTATGTATTCAGGCAGTACAGGAATCCATCAACCTCCACAACAAATCATGTGCATACTTTGTCTTAATCTGTATATTAATAATAATAAGATTATCATGAGAATACTGCAAAGTATGCACTCAGGCAGTATGAGGTCGCATTGACCTCTGCTATGCCGTACTGCCCTTGTGCACACTTTAAGATATTCTCATGACAACCTTATATTATCATAAATGACGAAGAAATTCATTTGCTTGGCAAAAAAACTACACACAATGAAACCATACCATACCATGAAATAACGAACCAATCAACATACATGAAAGCTGAAAACAGGAAGTCCTAATTCTGATTACACAGACCAATTAATGAGGTTCGCAGTCATTTTTATTGATAGTGATTCATATATTATTAATATCGACTACATGTATGAACAGTTTTCATTTTTTTTATAAAGACAGATTAAAATTGAATTGCCATGGGAATTTACAGTAGAGAAGCAAATATTCACTGGGTTTAATTTCAGAGGATTATATGTTGCCAGGATATACATGTAGACTAGGCTTCAAATTTACTGGTTTGTGAAGGAAACAATGCTCTCTGTGTTTAAAATCTGAATAATCAAAGGATTTTAATTCAGTGCTTATAATCGGTGAAATAAGCAAAAATAAAACCCAGCAAATAAGTCCTATATAGTAGAATATTTTCAGAAAACCTTTTTTTCATCCTGTTGTGAGCTTCTTTCAGTATTTGGTGACTCTTGAATGCTATAGATTTACAGTCATAAATAATTTTTATTTTCTATGAAGATCAGGTTTTCAAATAGAAAATGGAAGATACAATTAGATGAAAACATCAGTGATAATGGCTTTGCTGAACCCTGCTCTACGTCATTCAAATATATTGTTGCATGTGTTCTTAGATAAATGATATACTGTAAAATGATTAATTTTCACTGGGTTTAAATTTCACTAATTTCGCATTTCAGGCATATTTAGAGGGTTTTAAATTCACGGTTTTATCATTTAGATAATGTGTTCTATGCTAAATTTTACATATTCACTGGGTTTTAATTTAGCTCATTTTCAAGTCAGCGAAATAAACAAAATTAAAACCCAGTGAATAATTAACCCTTTTACAGTAAGTCAATGACATCACAATCAGAATCTCATATCTTTAATGACAAACTACGCCAATAATGCCTTAAACCCTTTGATTGCCATTTAATTTCCAGTCAAAATTTTATAGCAACATTTTGCCGATTTAATGTTTTTTTTAACCAAATAGACTTTTAACCAAATGATTTCCCATTGGCTACAGCTCCTGATTTTGGAAAAAATGAAAACAAAATTATGATGTTCATATTTTGTTAAAGGGGAATAATTTAGAATAATTTAAACTGATTCTGTATTTAGAACTATAATCATTGTAATTTTATAAATTCGCATATGCCATACAGGATATAAAGAGCAAATAATATTTGACATGACACACTAGTAGTGTGCTGTTTTAGATTTCTTTACTTGTTTGCTAAAGTAACCACTACACTGTACAGTTTCAAGCAGTTCTGTGATTGGTCAACGTACAATGATCATTCTGAATGTGATAACAGTTAAGAAATATTCTATTTTTAATTATCCATATTTTTTTTAGAAATCAAATTGTATTTGTTTGGCCACAGAGTCTAAATAATTTTTTCAAAAATTATTAAGAAAATAATATCCATTTAGTCATAAATGTATAAAGAAAATGATCAAAAACGAGCATTATATAGTCTCCATGCATCATCATGTTTAAAAAATATATAAAGTTTGAACATGAACGGTCCTAACATGACGTGGCTTCAAAACTGCATTCATTAAAATCCACCTACATGTGGCCGAGATCTAGTTCTGGAATGGCAAAAATGCTTTGATTTGCCAGCATATAAATGGCCGCCATTCAGCCATCTTGAATGCATTTGTACATGTATGTCTGAAGTTTGAATGTGATCTTCCAGACATGTACATGTACGAGACACTCACATAAGTCCTTGTTTTTAAAACTACATCCATATAGGAACTAAAAATACACAATAATGTACAAAAAGCTTCACAAAGGTGAAGAGTTGATAAACA